GATCCATAAATCCTCAATCTGTATACGGCATTGTATAATACAGTTTAAAATTCTTCACCGGGCATACCTAACCAAAGCTAAACTAGCCAAAATATACAATACCCCCGATGATAGATGTCCGAGGTGCAAGCAATCACCCGCCACTTTGAGCCATATGTTCTGGACCTGCTCTAATTTGAACCGGCTCTGGGAATTAGTTTTTAAAGCTCTTTCATATGTGTGTGGGAAAACAATTGATCCTAATCCGATGACAGCAGTCTTTGGTGTACTCCCAAACCAACACGGGATAACTTCTTATCAAATGAATGCAGTGGCTTTCTCATCTCTCCTGGCACGCAGGCTAATTCTTCTTAAATGGAAGGACTCAGGTCAGTGTTTGTTCAGTGGGTGAGAGAGGTGACGAGGTGTTTGCAGACAGAGCATCTGAGATACAGTTTGAGAGGGTCTCAAAGTAAATACTACAAAACCTGGTCATCCTTTGTTGAATATGTGGAGAAGTTGTCATTTACTGAAGTATGATGTAATACTGCTTTTATCTGTGTTTGTTTTTTTTCTCTTTCTTTGTTTAAAGCCACCTACTATCTGTAGCAAGCCGGAAAGAACTGCGCACAATGCAGCCACCGTTTTATTTATGTATTTATTTTATTCTATTTTTGTTTGTTTTGTTTTTTGTTTTTTTTCTGTTCGTTTGTTTATTTTTTTGCCTTGTTCACGTGATAGTACTTTTTTTTGTATGTGCACATAGATTACACATTCTCCTGCATCCAACTGGTTTGCCACTGTGGCGTAACCAGTTTCACAATGGCAGTGTTTGTAATCGCAATTCGAGTTATATTTTTCTGTACTTTTGTCATATTGGAAAATTATAAATAAAGTTGTCAAAAAAAAATAAGAGTCAGTATTAAAATTTAATTTGCTGATTTATTTTGTAATTCACTTTGTGACCATTTTGACTCATTTAATACATAATGTTTATTTATTGCCTTTAAACTATTGTTAATAAATTGTTAATTGACAGTCAGTATTGTTAATTAATGCTGATTTTTCCAAGTTAATATGTGAACTGTGTGTACATATTTCATAATCAAGGCAGTAAACCATCTGTATCATTTGTGTTATATGGAATTAGCAGAGGTCAATATTGCAAAAAACGTGAACCAACAGTATTATTAGATTTTAATATTAATGTTGGGGCAGTATCCGTTTTTCTCTGCAAGATATGAGTCTTCTTGTCTGTTGTGTTTTATATTTATTATTTGCTGTTTTTCTCATTGTTCATGCCCGTGTAGATTACATGCACTTAATCCCGTCTTTCTCTTAGTCATCACCAAAGTGGATCTTTTTTAATCTCCTGTGTGAATCTGCTCCTTCCTATATGAAAAACTTTAATTGCTTTTTAGAATAATTATTTTGTGTTAAGTGTGTTTTCTATTTAAAAAAGCATTGTTTGTTCAGAGCATTCAGAGTTGGTTTGACCATGATGCTGTCCACAGTCTGGACTCCTGCTGCAGGACACATTTTTAAACATTTACAATGACAGCCATTGTTGAGGTTTTGTCACACTTCACTTACCCTGCATAAGAGCTCCTGGATGACCCCAAAATGATTCCTCTAGAAGTCTGGGGCAATACGTATATGTCAAGGTGTAACTAATGCATTAGCCATGAACACGGCCATTGCAGTTACTGTACCATGTTAGGAGTCAGGCATTTGTGAAACTGACCTGTACAGCATGACTTGTAGAGGTGTTAGACCACTGTTTCTTCGGCTTTTTGACAAAACATTTAATAACATGCAGCTTAGCGAACTCAACCGACACTCAGGATCACTCTCCTTGTGATCGATCTAAAAGCGTTTTGATAGTACAGAACACTTCTGTACAAGTACAAGCACTTTGAGGTGTTAAATAAATTAACAGCTGTTGAAACCTTACATTTTTCGTTGTGTCCGAGCACTGAAGGGTGCAAACGGTGTCATAGTACAGGCCATTGGTGCAGGTGTACATGCCCTGGAATATATCAGGTGGGGCCGGGCACGCTATCGGCTCGCAGCCAGTTTCCTCCCACTGCCCTCCTTCCAGACACTCTAACTTGAAGTGCTTCCTAGAGACAACAGGTAATACACACATCTCTCAATGACCCGAATTATCCAGTTTAACACACACTGCTGTTTTGCGTGAAGCTATAAGGAAGGTTTACAAATAAGACAACTGAACACATTACATGGAAAAATGTACTGAAGCACGTGTTGTAAGAAACGCTGAACACACAACAGTGTCCGTTCTACAGTAAACAATATTTCCTGTGTGCTGCATGTTGGGTGTAAATGCAACAGTGTGTGTTATAATATTTATGTGGGTACATCTGTCAAAGGTAAAAGTAAAAAGCCTGTTTAAAGCTCTGTAATAGCGGCTGCCTTTTACTTTCACATGCTGAACTAATAAAGCATCAGGGGTTATTAAAATGTTTACTCATGTCGGAGGAAGCATAACTCATAAAGACACCCAGCTGCAGATGGAACTTCCAAATAAAAAGTTGTTCATTGGATTGCAAAGAAATTTAGGGTAATATCTACCCATCCATCTATTTTCTTGTACTGATCCAATCTAAATGTCATAGAGCAAGAGGTGGGGCATATCCTGGACAGGCTAACGGATCCCACTCAGATTCATATCTGTGGTCAATTTAGAATCACTAGCAAGCTTTCTATGATATCAAACAGCCTTTCTGTATGCTATTTATTAATCTTCTTTCAAATACAAGACCATCCTGACCCCCCAACGCCGTCTGAAATGTGTGAAGAAAGCCGACTCCTGAAGGAGGACATAAACTTACACCACAGGATGCATCTCCTGTTAGGAGACCCTCATTTCATTATAAACATGGGATCTGTTTTCAGTAATGAGCAGTTACTCGGGGAATACAACTGGCAAAGGAATGACGAGGCCCAGTTAGCAGCAGTACATATTTTATTGGACACTAATGTGAGTTTGCTCCCAAACTGAATATACTTATGTGGATGATGGGCCAAAGAATACCTCTTAAAAGCTGTGTACTCATCGATATTTAAAACTTTCCCCTTTGGGTTCTGGGTGTTCATGGGATGCATTGTTACAACAGTGATTAAGAAAAATCTAAAGCAAAGATCCTAATTTTATGAACTAGTGCGTAATGGGAATCTTGTAAACTAAAGGGAAAGAGAGAATTTCCTCCATTACGCATGGAGGCATGTGTAATTAAACACTGTATTTAATTTGATTTGTCTATGCTGACTAGTGTCCCATTTGGATATAACAAGTAAACGCCTGAAATAAAAAGTTTTCCCATTGATAATTTATTAATTAATAATTAATCATTCAGAAGACAAAACGCCTGGAATTAGAATAAGAAGAAATGTTTTTGTGCGTGTTTCAAGCTTTATGCTGCAATTAACACTTAAATAGTGAATGAACTCTGTTGACTGCCAGCATTTCTGCCCAACTTACCGTCGTATCTTCTTTTTGAGGCTCCCTAACACATAGAAGCCTGGTTTGCATTTGTAACGACAGACAGAGCCAACATCGTGCCCTGAAGCTAGACAGTCTGCTGTTAGCAGCTTGGCATTGGACATGCTTGGCACCTCTGGACATTCTATCTTGCAGTAGGCCTCCGGGAAAGACCACAGCCCGTCCTCCAAACACACCAATCTGTCACTGTCACCTAGGGAGGAGAGAGGAGGAGGAAGCAGAGGGGAGGTGAAGGGTTTTAAGACTTCCAGAGAATTTTAAAGTAGAGCCAAACAGCTAGGTTAGTTGTGTACTTAGCTTTGTTATGTTACAGAGATATGTTCACGTTTATCTGACTGCATGAATATAGCAGAACTTTTTGATTTGATGAGAAGAAAAACCTTAAGGTTCAGAGATCACTGATATTGTTGGCCTTTACACTATAATAAAAGCAGTTCCAAATGACTGTTGTATTGAATTTGTGCTCAATGTGTAGTTTGTGGCTCAGCTGCAGGAGAGGGGTGGGGCAGTGGCCCATCGGCCGGCAGCAGAATGGGCGCTGTTGCCACTGCCGTTGGGGGAGGCTCAAGCTTGCCACTGGCGTAGAGCCATCCTGGACCTACTTGTCCTCTCACTGGCAGAATTTTTGCGGCAGTGGAATGGGGGTGAAAGATCAGACCTTTGTGTTTGCTCCGCGGCTCCATGATGCAGCGGTCCGATGGCTTCAGCCGGGACCGTCACCAGAGGAGGCACAGCTGCTGGATGTGGTGGTCCAGGAGCAGTTTGTTGAGGGGTTTCCAGGGGAGACAGCACAGTGTGTCAGTTGCCATCGGCCCGCAAGCCTGCATGCAGCGGTCACACTAGCTGAAGACCACGTGGCAGCACGGCCAGAGGAGGCAGTGGGCCACATGCAACCAGCAGTGGAGAATCGCCTGGTTCCGGCCCCGAGGAGGTTCCCAACTCTGCTATAGCTTTGGAAGCTGCGAGGCAGTCATCTTCCCGTCTGCGGCCATGAGACCCTAACTCTGTCTCTCTTGCTGGTCTCCACATGTCCTGACAGCTGTAGACGCTGCGCCCCACCCACCGGAAACCACACGAACGCCGGGGCAGGAGTGCTGGAAGTGCAGGCAACCAGAATACATCAGCTGAGAGTGCCCACGGATGGAGGTGGATCAGGTGTTCTATGTCACTGGCCCTCAAACACCTTCCCTCGATCTGAGATGGGACGTATAGCGTAGCGGTAAGTTGCCAAGGGTGTATACGCCAGGCTATGGTGAACTCGGGCTGGATGCAGACCCTGGTCCCTGGCACTGCTAGAGGCAGAGTGGGTGGAAGTTAGGTGTGTGCATGGGGACACACACAAATATCCCATAGTGCTACTGGAAATGGGCAACGTGCATAGAGAGAATACTGCGTTTAATTCATGCCTGACGCATCCCTTAATTCTCTGGACAGATTGGGCGGGGTTTAATAATCGGTTGGGGTAGTGTGTGGGGATGCGTTCACGACCTATGATGGCATGTTGCGTCTGTGTTACACTCAGCGGTGATGTGGCGTTATTCAACGCTGACTTTCTGCCAGCTCCTGCCAGATTTCCCACTCGAGCAGTCTCATGATGACACCTCATGCTCAGCATTCGACGAAGTGATAGGAACTGGTGGTCACATGGTGCACCATGACGCAGCGCTAACCTGCTCACATTTTGTATCATTTAAAGATAGGCTGTATCGAGTGAGTCGTGACACTTGCACAGAAAAGGAACACGCCCAGTTGTTGGTGCCAAAAAGCTGCTGGAAAAATGATTTTCCAAACAGATCACTATTATCCCATGATGGAGAATATGGGGTATGATAAAACTCTGGAGCAAATAATGGCCCGATGTTATTGGCCAGGCATCCAGGCGGATGTGCACCAATGGTGTGTGTTCTGCCCGGAATGTCAGCTGGTGAACCACCCGGCCATTCAAAAAGACTATGAAGTGGTGTCTGTGAAGGTTCTCAGTCATCCAGGTCATCGTAGTCAAAGGAGCTTGGAAAGAAAAGCGTCTGGACTTCGTTAAGTTGCTTGAAGACGTTTCACCTCTCATCTGAGAAGCTTCTTCAGTTCTTAGGTCAAATGGTGGGGAGTCCCAGATTTACAGTGGTACAGTCAGACAAGTGAGGAGCCACACAGATATATCACCTCAGCCTCCTAAAAGCATGGAGAGGGGCTGAAACCACTTCTCTGGTGAGCTTGGTGAAGAATGAGTTGGGGCCAAATTCCGACACACCATCCTTCCTCCGTTGTGATAACTATCTCACACAGGCTGAAAGAACGGATATTGCTACATTGCAATGTTTTGCAGATATCCCCCCCCCTGCCCGGTCACACTCATAGAGCACCACATTGAAACACGCCCTGGTGTGACGATGCGTTCAGAGCCCTACAGGTTATCTGAACATAAAAGACAAATTGTTCAGAACGAACTGGCTGAAATACTAAAGCTGGAAATAACAGAAGAGACACACAGTGCATGGTGTAGCCCCATTGTGTCCCATAGTGACAAAAGATGGGTCAGTATATTCCTGTGTCGACTACCACAAAGTGAATGAGGTGTCGCAGGTATCCCTACCCAATTCCCCAGGTCAGAGAGCTACCTGGACTGGTTTGGCACTGCTGGCTTTTTCACGAAGCTGGATTTAACCAAGGGATACTGGAAAATCCCCTTGTCTCTAGAGTCCAAGGAAAAATGGCTTTCTCTACTCTGTATGGTTTGCACCAATTTCCCACACTTCCAATCGGCTTGTTTGGAGCCCAGCCACTTTCCAGCAGCTCATGGACCGGGTGCTATGTTCACACACTGCGTATGCTGCCTCCGGTCACTCCTGGGCATGTACAGCGGGTGGCTGCAGTCCTGGAGTCCCTGAGGCAAGCGTGACTCACCGCCAATTCAAGGAAATGTGTGGTTGAACAGAGGGAGGTACAATACCTGGGGTACCGCTTCGGATGCAGGCAGATGCGCTGTTCGATGGATAAAACAGCAGCCATTGCATTGTGCCCGCATCCCAAGATCAGAAAAATGGTGTTTAAATTATGCAGCAGGCTTTCCCATTTTGCTGAAATGTCATTACAGGAACTGAAAATGGTTCTCAGTAGTTTTTGTGGCTTCATGGCAACTGTGTCCATCTCCTCCCAGATCTGTATCAGGGCATCACTGATCTCACAGACAGTCTGAGGTACAACCTGGACCCAAACATAATGTCCCAGAGGTGTTCTCTTGGATTTACTCAGCCTAGCATGGGGCCAGTCACTGTTATCAATTCTTTCACCCTCCACAAACTGCCTGCATGCTTACCAAATTAGGCCAGGTATTGTCATGTACCAGTAGGAACCCAGGACTCACTGCCAGTGGGTCCAAGGATTTCATCCTGATAACTAATGGCAGGTGCTGTTGTCTATCCTGTAGAGGTCTGTGCATCCCTCCATGGATATGTCTCCTCAGACTATCAGTGGCACGGTGGATGTGCCAATTCTGGTATATTACAGCAAATTAAAATTTGGGCTCCACAGTGCCCAGCAGTGTCCTGTTAGGAGGTCAGTTTGCATGACACTGGCAGTGTTCCTCCTTGCAGAGCAGATACCAGCCCTGCTGATGGGATAAAGACCTTCTACAGCCCTGTCCAGCTCTCCTGCCTGGAATCTCCTCCATGCTCTTGAGACTGTGCTGGGAGACACAGTAAATCTTCTGTCAAACAAACGTCTTGATGTGCCATCCTGTAGGAGTTGGACCAACTGTGCAACCTCTGTAGCGTCCAGATATCGCATCATGCTAGCAGCAGTGACACTGACCCATGCCAAATGCAAAACTAGCGAAAACTCAGAAAAGATGAGGAGGAAAAAATGTCAGCCAGCCTCCACTTGTAAAAACATTTGTGTTTTTGAGGTTGTCTCATTGTTGCCCATCTAGTGCACCTGTGGTTAACTATATCAACGCCAAAGCAGCTGAAACTGATGAACAACCCCCTCTGACACTTGAACTGATATCTTGGACGTGAACTTATATCCCAGAAGTCTTAACGACTTAATGATATACAATGATTAAACCGTGTTCTTTATTTATTTCTTTATTTATTTTGACCAGTGTATATACTTAAGTCTTTTTCTCTATGGCCTTCAGAACTATATATACATCTCTCTCTCATATATATATATATAAACATCTTAAGCACCTGTAATGCTGGAACTGTGCTGCACAGCCATAAAAGTAGAATATAATAGACAATAAAACACAGGGGGGGAAAACAAGTATGTAAAAGTTTCATAGCTCTGTCTTGTACAGTTATGAGCAGATTGAAACTTCACTGTTGCCCATAGCTAATATTTTCAAGGCTGAATGGCCCCACATGAAGCATGAGTATTGTTATGTGTGGAGAATGGTAACACTCTAAACCTTTCACAACTTTTATTAGGTCCATAAAATGTAATGAATCTTTAACATGAAATCTCATTTTTCAAGTTTTGGAATAATGAAAAATGCATTACAGCTGTACTGGTGCACCCTGAATATATTTTTGTGAACTTCACAGTGTGCTTTCAGCGCTGAGTAATACACGATGGACTTCAAACATACTCCACAGAACCAAAAGCCACAAACAGAATTATTTCAGCACAATCTGTATTTAGATCAGGAATCCACGGGTCTTACTGCTGACTCTACTACAACGTTTCACTGTGGCTTTCCAACCGCCAACACAAGTGTGGACATCACGTTCATTCCATTTAATCACTTCAAGAAGCGGCTGCTGCATTGCATAACCTTACTAAATAACCTCTACTGGTTATTCTATGCTTGTGTCCTAATTGTGGGTGCCACAGGCAATATTTGTTCTCTATGGTCTTGATGCACGGGAGCTTTATAAAAACACTGCGGGCATCTAAGTACGAGAAAGTTGTGTGCGTGCAAAGGGGACAGGAACATGCCATATAGATGTTTCTCTCAGAGTTCATCCTGAATTTCAATAACAATTCTGTCAAGAACACTTTAGTCAAAATAGGACTCTTATTCCATCTGCAGTTTATATTTGGCGGCACGGTTCTGAAACCTCCTCGTGTGCATGGAAAGTTAATAGAAAGTGAGAGAAGCAGCAGGACCCATTCACACAACAAAACAGGTATGACAATGGACACAACACTTAAGTCAGAAAACTCTGGGCTGGACGTGGGCTGCAAAGCAAACTGCAGATAAGCCAGCAGATGAATAGGACAGACAGAAGGGTATCTGCTAGGAGAGCTGGCTGAACTTGACACTTTGGCCTGTTTCATGAAACCACCTAATATTTAATTGGCCGTAAAGCTTCATGGAACATCAGCGGGAAGAGCAATCCTAACTGAGAGCATAAGTTTGTAAATAACATTCCAAAGTGATTTCAGTCAACCAGGCAGATTCGATGCTCCTTTCTGAGCTGCTCTTCTGAACAAATGTGCTTTAAATAAACAGCTTTAAATAAACCACTTCATCTTCTGGAGTTTAGTTGGCGAAAGCATTTTGCTGTGATCAGTAGACTCCAGCAGCTCAGTCATAAAGTGGTTTAAAAGATTATTAGCAAAAGTCATCAAAATAATAGAAATTACAGAAACAAAGCATCATTTAAGCAGGATGTCTGTCCTTGCCATTGAAAAAACATTCATTCTATTCATCAAGATTTCTTTGGTTCCTTTCTTCGGTATCTAAAAGTATAATGGGAGACAGAGCCTTCAGCTTTCAGGAACTGTGGTGACACCTTTCTACTTTAAAGATTAGGCTTAAAACTTTCCTTTTTGATGAAGCTTTTAGCTAGAGCTTCCTCATAAGGTTTCATCTATGTTTGATTATTGGTTGGTAGTTTTGAAGAGTCTTTACCTTACAACAGGGGTGGGCAACTCCAGGCCTTGAGGGCCGGTGTCCTGCAGGTTTTAGGCTACATTCACACTGCAGGCGAAAGCGCATCAAATCCGATTTTTCTGACCCTATGCGACCCATATCCGATCATGGTGTGACAGTGTGAACGGCACAAATCTGATATTTTCAAATCCGATCTGGGTCACTTTCGTATGTGGTACTGAATCCGATACATATCCGATGTTTTAGAAAGCTGCTGTTTGATGGTCATGTCGCAATAAATCCGTCTTTTACGTCACTGACACAAGACAGACGCCAATTATCAGCGCCCGAGAAGACATCGCGAACGCTTCCAGCATAGATGTCAGTGAAACTGTTGGGAAGACAACGTTGGAGAAACATGAATATTTTATTTATACTGTATAATCTGCAGATTCTGACAGAAATCTCCTTGATCCATCACAGCTGATTTAAATGGCGAAATTAGCTCCTCAACATGTCCTGAAGTTCTCCAGAGGCCTGGGAATGAACTAATCATGTGATTCAGGTGTGTTGACCCAGGGCGAGATCTAAAACCTGCAGGACACCAGCCCTCGAGGCCTGGAGTTGCCCACCCCTGCCTTACAATATAAAAATGAATGAATTCAATTGAATTGATATAGATTGAATAGAATTGCCCAAAGACAACAGACTAGGTAACCCAGTTTTCCCAGACAGTAATATGAATAAATAGTGAAAAAAGTTGCTCAATCACAAAATGTTTTCCACATTAAAAATGTCTCATTACGAACTTATTACTCTTTTGCGTCTTACTGGGAACAGCAACCAGTAATACATTTGAGACGGTCACTTCTAGTTTTATTTCTTATAATGCTGCCAAGAAATTAAGCTTCAGCTAAGGATAGTTTACATAGTTTACAGCCAAATACTTAGTCGAGCCACATTTTTGAGGCAGGAAAGTATAGCACCCCAGAAGTGACGTTACATATTACGTGATTCGTTTAGGGTTCATTATTCAATTTCAAATGCACAGCCAACGTCAGCAGAATCCAACTGTTGGGTGCACAGATGCAGCTGCTCGGCCTGCCTGTGACAGTGGCAACTATGGTTACTCTTCACTTGTTGCTGTGGATCCGTCTATGCTGCAGTAAATATTAGGGGTGCAACGATACTCGTAT